AAGAAAAAATAAATAACTTTTGGATGTAAAAACTTCAGATTTCTTAACATTTATTAATGGTACCATCATGGTCTGTCCTGTGCAGAATGACAAAACACTAAATGAGTTCTTTACTAAAACCTCTGTAACTTTGCTCCAGTTCATTTTAGCAGCATGAATCTTTGCACAGTTAATGACCACAAGTGGATTTATGGTTTCCAAGAGTTTTAGCCTGATTCATTATGGTTTTAAATAAGTTATATACTGTCTAATGAAAACATTATTAGGACAGGAGGGAAATAAAATAAACATATGTTCCATCCTCAATATCTCTGAAACAACAGCAGCTGTTTTAATACTTACACTTGTGATAAAGTGTTGCTTTATTTTGATACCAAGATTATTTGAGTACAGTTTGTAAATGCTGAGATACACTCAGTTACACTGAGTATGGTGTTTTGAAAAAAACAAAAAACGACAAAAAAAATCAATTAAATGAAAACCCCTTGGGGCTTAAGAGGTTAAAGATGGAGATTTRTGTCATTTACGTGTTTGTTTAAGGCAGTTAGCTTTGGTGGCCATCTTGAATTAGTTTGGCTCCAGTTGTAAACGTAAACCCAGTTTCATAAATCAAACACACACAGGTAATTACATTATTACTCATGTCAGTGGGTGATAACTAACCACAACGTTCTCATTCAGCCAGTTTGTTTTCTTCAGCGTTTGATGCTGTTGCCTTATCATCATCATCATCATCATCATCATCATCATCATCATCATCATGCTGACTCAGTGATTCGTTTCATTATGACCTGCTCCCAGAATTAGTAAAAAGTAATAATGGTTTCAGCCATGTGTTTGTTTTCTGTGTGTTAACAAAATATCTGATGAACCACTGATTCTTAATTTGTCTGCAAGCTAACTGAATATGTGTCTACACCTGAGTTCCTTTAGGATTAAAACCATTTTGAAATGGTTTCAGGAAACACAACAGCTGCAGTGGCTCAGTGCTGCACAGTGGTTCAGTGTTTGGAGTCAACAGTTCACAACTAATCAGCCTGAACAACACAAACATGTCTACATGTCTGTGAGAGAAACAACTCTGACACTTCTCATCATGAAAGGATTTTAGTTTTAAACTGTTGATGGGTGAAGGAACGCCCTACCCCTACCCCTATCCCTACCCCTAACCTGATTTAATAACATATTAAAATGTTTTACTTCATGATTTTATAATATTTAGTTCCAGTCCTCATTAAGATGTACAAAGTGCTGACAGGAGCCTGGTATTTGACTTGCATGAGTATTCAGGGTATCTGTGCATGCTTTGTATCATAAATGTGTGTGAGTGTGTTTGACATGAGTGGAGTGTGTGTGTGTGTGTGTGTGTGACACAGAGAGGCTCATAAATAATGGATGAGGTGGGAGGAGTGATGGAGAGGAGGAGGTGACAGATGGAGAACAGCGTGTCTACGAGCTGAGAGACACTCAGAGGACAGAAGAGAGAGAGACACAGACAGAGAGGAGGGAGAAAACAGAGGGAATAAAGATCTGTAAGACTGTTCCTCTCATTTAGTCGTAGATGTTCGGTGTTTGTGGTGGATTCAGAGGACGGCGGCTCAGCCTTTGTGTTCCCCGTGTCTTTTTGTCCCTGGATGTTGGAGGAGTGAAGCAGAGGGATTTCCACTACGATGAGCCAGCTCTGCTGTTCACCTGAACATGAGAGCTGCGCTGACTCAGGTACTGAAACATCTCTGTTTACTGAGGCGCTGAAGGGGGCGGGGGATGAAACAGGCTCTCCTGAGCTTTTACTTCCTGTACAGAACTGAAGACTAACAGTCATTTCAAGAAACAGTCAGTTTTACTAATTAAACTGATCAGTTCTGACTCTAATCACAGAAAAAATAACCTCCAGCTTCAAACATGAACATGTCTTTGTTCTGCAGACACTTGGGTTTTTGTGAGTTTCCATCATCACAGCCTTTGTTCCTCTGTTTGTTGTTTAGTTGTTGCTGCATTTACCTCATCAGTTATTAGGAGAAACCACTGAACCACTGGCTGGACTTATGAAATCCCTGTTGGGTCAGTTTAGACTGGATCTGTGCGTCACGTGCTCATCTACTGTTTGGGTTATTGTCCAGTCGTTTTGCTCTAAAGCTTGTTTCTCATCACATTTTGCACGTTAATATAATTTAAATGAGTCAAACCAATGTAGTAATTTGGTCTGTAATTGTGTGTGTGTGTGTGTGTGTGTGTGTGTGTGTGTGTGTGTGTGTGTGTGTGT